CTCTTAACTATTTCCATACCCTGCGACTCTATTGCCTCGCCACTGCTTGTGCTTTCAATGTTAGTCGTCGAGAAGTTTTCAGTGGACAAAGTTGAAAAGTTGCTGAAACTTGTCATAGTACGTAAGTTGCTCTTCTTAGTAAATTATCGCCTAAATCAGGTTTTCTGTGTGAAGTCAGGTTCGCGACGAACGATCTGTTTCGAGGCAAATTTCGGTCCTTTACGAGAACTGCAGTTCGGAAATCGATCGCCGTTTCGCAAATAATTTGAGTTTGGTAGTTAAACTCTTTGAAGCTTTATCAGGATTGAACAAATACACGTGAGGACATATCTTGCAGCCTTGTTGGATCCGGTGAAACTGCAGCATTTCTGTGTAGCCCGTGGTTTCTTAAGGATCTTTTAAAATATGCAAGGCCAACTCTATTGTTTACGATGATATTCAAACAGCAGTGGGTAATGTCACACGCGTTGTGATTGGTTTTAAACAAAAAGTTACAACAATAAAGTTTCTTTGTTTTAATTGTTGCAAAAATGTGCTAAAAGTTCAATTAGAAAAAACTTCAAAGCCATGAAACACGAGGAAACTTTAATTCAACCTCAGATGGCATGTTGTTTTTAAACAAATTTGACTGAATTGAAATTTAGAATAAAACGAAAATAAGAATTGTCGATCTTTCATAGTATGACATATGGAAATGCAATAACATACACAGCTTGTCATCGAAAAAAGTAGAGGAATAGGGGTGCAACGTTTGTTTTTTATCATCATAATTACTTTATCTGCATTTTAACGACTTAGACTCACTGGAGTTTTCACTGCCACGTTTTGCTAAACAATTTTTCCTTAGAAGTGTCGCGCGAAAAAACCACGATATGGAGAGACTGTAGGGGTTTTAGGAGGAAATTCTAGAACATCAAGTTTTCTCTGAGGTCTTTGGCATGTATTCGTGCTATTGATATATATAACCTGCTGAACAAGAGTCAATGTAACTATTATATAAACCTGAGTAAACTACACCATATATTAAAGCGAGGCCACCTGAATGAAACCTAAATTTTGAGCGAAGCCACCTGTTCGTCAGGTTTGTACTGATAAAATCAAGGTCAAAAAACACTGACTGACAGGAACAATG